AGCCGTATGAGCGAGAATTCAATTTATTCTTATCTCATATACAGTTGTCTCATTTACTCCGTATATATGTATGTATTTTGAAAATGAGATAGCAAAATGTGTATATTGATGGCCATCTTGCGAGTAGTAACCATTAACTACTCTCATCGGGTTCTCATCATTAATTGTTCTTTTTTTTTTTTTGAGGGTGAATTATTGGGGGGTGATTGTACAGGCCACCCCCCCCCACCTGAAATATTTGGGGGGATATATCCCCCCATCCCCCCCCCCCCCCGGGATCGACACCCATGTGTGTAGCCTTGAATCGTATTTTATGTCGTTAAAAGTCTACCCTTAAAATGTTCAATTATGAGGATTTGTGCCCTTCCCCATCTCCCATGTGGAGGATATCTTTGTCTTCATACCCATTCCTAAATAAAAGACGTTATTTGGGATATGAGAGGAAAGAGCCGCTTTTATTGTGTTGAAACAAATATTTCTTTCACTTAGGAGAGGGTATTGTACAAATTCAGCCATTTCTCGACTTTTTAACAAGACCTACTCCCTCAAATCATAATGTTTTTGAAATCATTGTTTTCTTGCTTTTTGCAACCTTTCTGGATGAACTTTATTCATTATTTTATATATCCTCCTGCAGTCGACAATGAAGCACAGTTTTTAAAAATAAAACGAACTGAAAGAAGAAGAAATATATCACCCCGTGCAGGCGCGGATCCAGGATTTTCCAATAGGGGGGGGGGGGGGGCCGGAAATTTGAAAATTGCGCAGACCGTTTTTTCAAGGTCATATTAGAAGCACCATTGACATTTTCATCGGGGGGGGGGGGCTATAGCCCGCGGAAGCTTTAACCTTTCATTAATTATTAGAGAAAGAAGACGATTTGTTGTACCATTCTCGACTCGTATTCCTTGTCTGAATCCAGTTTTCCCCCTCCCGCGCAAATCGCGGAGGCTTTGACCTTTTACAGTTTAATGAAATTATTAGAGAAAGAAGATGATTCGTTGTTCCATTCTCGAATCTTAATCCTTCTCTGAATTCAGTTTTCCCCCTCCCGCGCGAAGCGCGGAAGCTTTGACGTTTCATTAAATTATTAGAGAAAGAAGACGATTCGTTGTAACATTCTCGACTCTTAATCCTTGTTTGAATTCAGTTTCCTCCCGCCCGCGCGAAGCGCGGAAGCTTTGCTTTTTCATTAATTATTAGAGAAAGAAGATTTGTTGTACCATTCTCGACTTTTATTACTTGACTGAATTCAGCCCCCCCTCCCGCGCGAAGCATGGAAGCTTTGGCCTTTCATAGTTAATGAAATTATTAGAGAAAGAAGATGATTCGTTGTTCCATTCTCGACTCTTAATCCTTGTCTGAATTCAGTTCCCCCCCTCCTGCGCTTTGCGCGGAAGCTTAACGTTTCATTAAATTATTAGAGAAAGAAGACGATTCGTTGTACCGTCATCGACTCTTAATCTTTGTCTAAAATTAAGTTCCCGCCACCCCCCCCCCCCCTCCAGCGCGAAGCGCGGAAGCTCTGAAGTTTCATTAAATTATTAGAGAAAGAAGACGATTCGTTGTACCGTTCTCGACTCTTAATCTTTGTCTAAATTGAGTTCCCGCCACCCCCCTCCCGCGTGAAGCGCGGAAGCTTTGAAGTTTCATTAAATTATTAGAGAAAGAAGACGATTCGTTGTACCGTTCTCGACTCTTAATCCTTGTCTGAATTCAGTTTTCCCCTGCCTGCGCATAGCGCGTAAGCTTTGACGGTTCATTAAATTATTAGAGAAAGAAGACGATTCGTTGTACCGTTCTCGACTCTTAATCTTTGTCTGAATTGAGTTCCCGCCACCCCCCCCCCCCCCCTCCCGCGCGAAGCGCGGAAGCTTTGACGTTTCATTAAATTATTAGAGAAAGAAGACGATTCGTTGTACCGTTCACGACTCTTAATCTTTGTCTGAATTGAGTTCCCGCCACCGCCCCCCCCCCTCCCGCGCGAAGCGCGGAAGCTTTGACGTTTCATTAAATTATTAGAGAAAGAAGACGATTCGTTGTACCGTTCTCGACTCTTAATCCTTGTCTGAATTCAGTTTTCCCTTGCCCGCGCATAGCGCGTAAGCTTTGACGGTTCATCATATTATTAGAGGAAGAAGACGAATCGTTGTACCAATCTCGTCTCTTAATCCTTGTTTGAATTCAGTTTTCCCCCTTCCGCGCGAAGCGCGGTAACGTTGACGTTTCATTAAATTATTATAGAAAGAAGATGATTCGTTTTACCATTCTCGACTCCCAATCCTTGTCTGAATTCAGTTGCCCCCCTTCCGAGCGATGCGCGGAAGCTTTGACATTTAATTAAATTATTAGAGAAAGAAGACGATTCGTTGTACCGTTCTCGACTTGTCTCAATTTGAAAAAATATTTCTTTGTCTGCTCCTTTTTCGTCCTCTTACTGCCCTCACCGCCCCTGGCTACGCGCCTGCTTTAAAGGGAAAATAAAAAACAATCATGATTGTGATAGTACACAATTAGCTTAGTAGACATGAAAGGAAAAAAAGATGTATTACACCAACCATGGATAAATCACGGCCGGGAGCGTCATAGTTTTGTGTTATCGAGCGAGGGCCGGGGCGTAGCGACCAAGCGAGATTTTGCAATGTTGAATGCTGAAATTATGCATTCTAGAAAATCCCTAAGCCCAATTTGTACGTTCTTTCCGTCATATTTCTTTCTAGCTATATTTCTAAATTTCCTGGGGGACGTGTCCCCCTATCGGGCCCAGGATTGCCGCCCCTGTCCACAAGCGAGTTGGTATGAGCTGAATCCAAATGAAGGGCAAAATAAGAGTTGTGAAGCGGCCCTACCGATAATCAAAATGTGACTGTTGAGTATATAACTTCTATTTAAAAGACATCCAAAATATTGTGCCCTTTTCAAATTTCTCACTAAAGAGTGATGACCGCAGGGGCTGTTTTTAACGTTTAACTTTGAATCCGCGGCTCGAGATTTTATGCGGCCGGCCCGTCCCCCATCTATTCAATAACGTTTGCCAAGCCTTCTGGAATGACCCCAAATCTCCCGATTACAGTTTTCCCTTATTCATCGTTACTGTCACTTAGCGCCATTTCCTTGTCTTTCCCCTTTCTCACCGACTTTTCTTTTCCCACCCCCCCCCCACCCACTTAGTGTTATCTAGGGTACGCACATGTATGTGGCCTCTCTTTGAAAGCAGCCCTCTAACTGGGTAAAGTCAGTACGGGCCGGATTTTTGTGTATTACGGGCCGGACTTTGTTTCGTGAAAAGTAACTCTTTATCGGAAATTTTGGGAACATAAATTCGGCCCCTCCGACCTCGGAGTGGGAGGGGGGGGGGGGGGGCTTTCTTCTTTATCTTTTCTCTTCTCTTTTCTTTTCTCTTCTTTTTTCCTTTCTCTTCTCCTTTCTTTTCTCTTCTCCTTTTTTTCTCTCTTCTCCTTTCTTTTTTTCTCTTCTTTTCTTCCTCTTTTTTTTTCTTCCTTTTTTTTGCGCCGCCAATAGGGGGGCCGCGGCCGTTTCGGCCCCCCCCTGGATCCGCCACTGCCGTGCAAATTTGTGGAGGGTATACAGAAACTGAGGTCAGTGACACTGTAAACCTTCAGCATAAAGATTTTACAAAGCACAATAGTTGATAATAATATTTCTTTTAAATTATCTTGTGCAAATATGGCAATAGACAATGAAGCACAGATTTAAAAATATAACGAACTGAAAGAAGAACAAATATATCACCTCGTGCAATTTTTTTGGAGGGTATACAGAAACTGAGGTCAGTGACACTGTAAAGTTTCAACATATAGATATTACAAAGCATAAGAGTAAATAGTAATATTTCTTTTAAATTATCTTGTGCAAATATGGATGGGAATAACATGATAGAGAGTACACGAACCTGAACTGGGGCAGCTAGACTCGCCCACTATTATGTATGGTAACCTTATTCACTATCGTCAAAAAATTGCTAGCATTATGAATTATCTTTTTTAATATTGATCAATATTCCTTATTTGATTTCATATTTTTAAAAACTGACAGTGTTTCTTGTAATATTTTTGCCTAATCTTCTTTCTTCGAATCTTTATTTCCAGGTTTTGACCCTTAATTGGTCTCCTTCTCACCCTATAGTTTCGATGAAAACAGTACATTGAATCCCTTAAAAGCATATATTTATCCCGTATTTTATTTACTTTTGTTATACAGCATGTTATGATTGACAACTGTCATAAGGGATATTTCATATCCAAACTTAAAGATACTGTGTCCCTTTTGCAGCCAACATCAAATTCTGTAGAACTTTGCAGGAATTAGGAATATGCCTATGTCATGTATGTCCTATAATGTGAGATTTAAACATTGGCAGTGTCCTATAATTTTGTTTATGCAAGAAAACCCGTTTACCTTCTAGGGTTCACTGTCAGACGCCATTGAGTGACTAACTGACATCTATTTTTCTTTGGTAATAACATACATAAAATAAGCTGTAACAGGTACATGAGCATTTAGTCTACATCAATAACCCACTTCTTGTAATGGCCAAAATCAAACTGATTGAATCTTTGTGCATCACAAAACGTACAGCCATTTGGTAAAAGGGTCTGAAAATCAGACCATGACTTAGGTGATTGCAATCACTTAAGTCGATTCGACAACTAATGGTCGTTATTTTCCCACCGAAAGCCATTTTCAAGCCCTTTCGTTTTGAGGGAAGTTCTATAGTATTGTCTTTCAAATGCCGTTGAAATTTAACCTTTTTATCTTTGTTTGGCCTGCAAATGGGACATAGTACCTTTAAAAACTTGACAGATACCTTCGTGTTCCAACTTCCACATCAAATATGCTCAATTGATTGAATGATAAGTGTACTCGCGAGAGAACAAACAAGGAGTACTAACACCTTCCATTTATCTCAGGCAGATGTTTTGTATTTTTCTAGATCGAACAAACCTTGCCTTTTCTATTTAAGCAGCATCTCAATTATAGAATCCATTCTTCACACACGATATATAAGCTGCCGCTTCTCGGTCAGTGACCAGTTTGAGAGAATCCTCGGTGATATCAGTACGTGGGCTTTCTTTCACTGGCAGGTACAGGTGAGTAGCCTTGACAAACTATCCCTTTAAATTTTAAAATAGGTTTTCGGGTAGATTTGGAAAAGTGATAAAATCTTCTACTTAATTTTTTTTTAAATTGACAACACTGCGCCTTTTTTGCTCGTGTACCTAGCTCACTACTCGTAAAAACTATAACCTCAACTATTTTGAACGATTCTATATCTTATACGAGAAAATTTGAAATGGCTAAACAGGCTATAATACAGGCCTATAGGCTACTTTTGAATTGTTTATCATTACTTTTGTTTTCCATTTTTCTGTTATTAATCTGAAACCTTCAAATCCTCAACAATTTTAAGTGGTCATTATGGCAGAAAATGATACTTCCATTCAAAACGTCACCCTTTAGATTAAAACGTAGTAATTTCTTTTCCTTTTTTTTGCATCTGGGATTTGTAATTGGCAATAATTTTGCTGAGGTATTATCCTGAAAGAACGAGTAGCCTATGTTTATGACCAGGATCTAAAAATGGGCTCATTTGTAACTATTTCCCAACACAAAATCACACCCCATGTTTATTTTTTCTTCTCTTCCTTCCCGTTCTTTGGCAAAAATCGACCCATTAGAGCGGCACCCCTATTATACTGTATAATTATTAATTAATAATTTATATATAAAATACCATCTCTACCTGATTTCATAATGATTTGACAGACCACAACACTTCCCTTTCCTCAGTATTTCAACGCCTAAACCGCTTCATCGGGACAGCTACCAAATCGAACTCCAAGATGCATCTTACGTGCACGGTGGTGAAGGTGGTGATGGTGGTCGGGATGTTGATGGTGATGACACCAAACTCTGACGCATTGAGTGGAAAAACACCTCCCGGTCCGGGGCTGTTGGGGAGCTTTACGCAGTTGAAAAGGGTAGTGAGCGATTTCTTTAGATCGGTAAGTAGCCTATTCAGTGTAGCCTGCATGATCAGTGGCTTTTCAAGACCTTCGGCATCGGACAGGAGAGAGAGAGACAGAGAGACAGAGAGAAAGGGGGAAGAGAGAGAGAGAGAGAGAGAGAGAGAGAGAAAGAGAGAAAGAGAGAAAGAGAGAAAGAGAGAAAGATAAATGGTGACAAATGATCCAGGCAAATGAGTTGTTTCTTTTGAGTTTCAGCACGTTCAGCAACAAAATAAATCCTCCCATGAAGATTAATTGTGAAGAGTTCCAAGCTTCATTGCTCGCCCCTGGCGCTTAAATACCTAATACACCTCTGTTAGGCTTTATTTACTGGGAGATAAGTAAGGCAAGAATTTCGTCAATTTTCATTCAACACGACTTAATTTTTTTTCTCAATAACCCTGTACATATTGCAGTTTCTTAAAAGTGTGATTATACAATGACAGATTGCAAAATCATAAATCCAGTAGTGTTTTGTCATTGCCCAGGAGTTGATTTCTTAAAAGGCTTTGCGATCACAGATTTGCTTTCTCCTATTCACGTCTTCCAGATTCCAATCATGCCAAACTTTTAAAAAAACATTACAAATTAATCATCAATCTATTCTGAAAATATTGGGTTTCTATTGTTATATATAATAACATAATAGTTATCTCAAAATCTGATACATGTTATGATTTGTCGTAATATCAGTGCGTTCAACTGCCTCATAATAAATTATCAGAATTCAAAATATTTCATGATTTTCGACATTTTGACAGAGATCGGCGGCTGAGATGATCAGCGAAAAGGAAGGCGGACTCTACCAGTTAAACCTCGGTTTATCAAAGATCTGCTTCATCAACTCCAGGGGATTCAGGGATGAAGCGTTTTTGGAGAAGTATCACCTCTTCTCCGATCGTGGGGTCGAGTCAAACAAGAAGCAGCTACCAGAAGAGCTCATGCAGTGGCGAGGTATGAAAACGAAAAAGTCGGAGAAAAAGGGGGGGGGGGGTAGTAAGCACATTTTTTTTTTGCACCCCCCCCTTGAGCGCCGGGGGGGGGGGGCAACCCCCCCCCCCAAAAAAGTAAAAATCACGTGATTTTACATGATTTTTTTCTCAAGGGGGGGGGGGGGGGGGAGGCGGGCCCCCTGCCCCCCCCCTGGATCCGCCACTGATAAGAGGTATATAATCACGTTTATTCACGGAGCTCTGTGATATAATCTTGCTATGATATTAAGAAACGTAAGCGTACTACGTCTTTACGTTATTATTAAAAAAGCCGCCGCGTATTTTCTGCGTCATTTCTGAATGAGCCTTAGTTGTAGGAATAGTATAAATAAGTCTAATCTGAATTTATACAGCGCTTAAAATGCGAAATACCGTCTTTAAGCGCTTTACCTCGATCATCGGATTCATTCGACCAAAATATGCAATGTCTCCATTCCCCGAGGAGTATTCCTACCATAATATTATGGTCACCGTGAGGGCATAAGTATGACAATTACTAACACAAAGGCCTTCGCCATCTTACCAGGTCCACTTTTCTCTCCTAAGTAGGGAGTGGCGTAATGTAGATTAATGCCTTGCCAAAGGACATTAGTGTCGTATCAGGGATCGAACCCACGACCATTGCATTATTTTAAAGTCAAATGCTTAAACCACTTCACTTCGACACCTCTACTGAGATTCATTCTACAACTTTTTTCAATGTCAGTTAATCTCTGGCCTCTTCTGTTTGTTCGGGGGTGTTTTTTTTTTTTTGTTGTTGTTGAATTAATTATCATTTTTTAATTCAACGGTACGTATTTAATCCATTTTCAACAAAGGTACTATACGAGACAACGGCGCTGCTTCGGAGGAGGCACGAGCCTTTGTCAACAGTACCCTCAAGGAAACGTCGTACCTGAGAACCACCGTCGAAACTCAAATCGAAGAAGCCATCGCCTTCTTCGACGATGAATTGACGGGGGCAATTCCCAGCGATTTAGTCGTCCCTAAAATGATCTTCAGGGAGCACGTACTGGACGTGATGACCCGTATAGCGTTCGATACAGCCGGTCATAGAAATACAATCAGCGGCCAGTGGCAGTTCCAGAAATTCTTTGAGGACGTCGATGCTCTCAGTAACAGTGTCTTGTTTCAGCCAGGGTTTATATCTACTGTCCTGCCAAACACTAAAGTAGATGACTACGAAACCAACGTGAGTACCGCCATTGTCAGTTCGAAATACTGTAGTTGCATCACTGTAAAGCAATTTTGTATCTAAAAGATAACCCTTATATTGAAGGTTCTATGACAATCCTGAAGGTGGGAGGGGGTTAAGCTCACGAAGTTGATATTGGACAACATTACTTATTACGCCACTAGAGTGGTGTGTGTAGGGGGGGGGGGGTTACAAGTCAAAACATTTGCTCCATGCATTTTCTTGTCTCCATCCCCCGGTTATTGGATTCAATTGGTTTACAAGAGCACGCATGCCAATCCAACCAAATTAATAACTGCATCTGAGCGGGGGTACCCATTCAACACCTGGGTAGAGAGTGGCAAATTAAGATTAATCTCTTGCCAAAGGAAATTAATGTCGTAACGGGACTCGAACCTGATACTTGGCAACGTATCCACAAGATCACGTCACTCGCCTCAACCATAATAATTATCATCCGCACCCCGGGATTTCTGCCGGTCGTTTCGTAATTTATATTGCAGCTGGTAGGTGTGGCCAAATACCTCAAAGAACGAGCGGAAGAGGCCATCTACACGAACCGTGAAACCAGCCTCGTGCAACGTTACAGCGATTTCTTTTTGAAGCGTGAGTCGTCCATTGCCCAACCAGAGGACGGATGGCGACTTATGTATGACTTCTTTACGGCCGGTGTCAACACCGTACCCGAGGTCATAACATGGGACATCTACTACCTGGCAAGTGACCTGGACCTCCAAGACAAGGTAAAGTCGCAATGTTTGCTTTCCCTTGTATTTATACCGAAAATGCAGTAATGGGGTTCTATTCCATTTTCGGAATAACGAACCTTCGTATTCATGAATCTTACAATTTATTTTATTTATTTATTTATGCATGTTCACAATTTCACAATTCATTGAAGTTAACATCACATGAAAAATTAATATAAGATGACAAATCATTTTCAATTTTACAATACATTTGAATTAACTTCACGTGAAAAAGAATATAACATTGTTTTATCAAAGACAAGTTGTAACTTATATACAGTTTGAAGAATGAACACACAAAGGTGATGAAACATAAGCAAATAGAGCTTGAATCGTTACAACACCTTTCAAATATATAATATATGAAAAATAAAATTCCTAAAGGAGTAGAAACAAAAACGCAAAAGAGGGAAAGAGAATGGGATGACAGTTTGTGTTAGGGCATTACAAAGACAGTTTTTGACTGTTTAAAATGCAACATTTTTGTAAGACTCGGTTGCTTAGCTCCAGAATCTCATAATTTGGCACCCCTAATAGATAATGTGTATAAATAGTATTTTAAAGGGTTAAAATCATTGCATTGCTCTCGATTTTAAGTTAGATCAGGCTCTTGTTAAAATTGCGTCCCCTGTTTACTGGATCCATACAAAATGGTATTCAAAGGTAATTCCACAAATATTAGTACTGAAAGAGATGTTTACTTTCGGTTACTTTGCGAAACAATATTTCATTAATTTCATGGTTTCCTTCGGCCGCCATACACAATTCCTAGCTACATCACTACTGACAACAGACCCCCAAATCACATTAAGCCTATCCCTAGCGCATGGCCAAGGATCGGTCGGTTTGGCATCGGCTTGGCTCTGTGAATGAGGTACAAACCCACCTTTGCTTCCCTCATCTCAGATTCGCCAGGAGATGAAGAACTTTGGCACCGACGTTACGTACGACGATCGCACGAGTCTTCCACGGACGATGTCCTTCCTGACCGAGGTCCATCGCCTTCGCCCAGTTGCTACCTTGGGAATACCCCATGCGGCGTCCGCAGACGGCACGATCGGTGGTTATGCCATCGACAAGGAAACTCTCATCATTCCAAACCACTGGGCCATGCACAACGACCCTGCCGATTGGCAATCTGATCCACAGGTCTTTGACGCTACGAGATTCTTGAAACTCAACGGCAATGACCTGACCTTTGACTCGGACAAAGCCCGTATCGTCACCCCATTTTCTGTCGGTAAGTCATTTTTCGTCAAATTGGGATTCCCGTAATTTGTTTCCATCTTCTTTTTTCTTCTTTCTTCTTTGCATCTTATTTGTTTTCTTTCTGGCCGACGCTGTTATAATATAAATATCCTTGAATAGTGTAAATAAGACTTAAAACATCGCTTAGGCATTCGGACCAAGAACAGTTTTACTTTGAATGTGTTGTGCTACATCAAAATGTTACAACTAGTAATTGAGGTGTCTCTAAATGACTGAATATAGATTAATCATAATCTATAATTGTGTCGGCTCCGTAGGTTGTCGGTCTCCTCAGCCAGTAAACTTGAGACTCTGTGTCACGTGGGCCAGGCGCGGATCCAGGATTTCTTAGGGGAGGGGGCCAACTTTTTTTTTTTTTTTGCCCCCGAAAATTTGAAAAACGCGCCGGCCAAAAATTCGCTCAGTGGGGGGGGGGGGGGGGGGGGGGGGGGGGGGGGGGGGGTAGTGGTAGTGAGCACATTTTTTTTTTTTGATCCTCAAAAAAAATTTCAATTTGCATCCCCCCCCCCTTGAGCGCCAGGGGGGGGGGGGGCCCAACCCCCAAAATCGTAAAAATCACGTGATTTTACATGATTTTTTTCTCAAGGGCCCGGGCCCCCCCCCCCTGGATTTGCCACTGACGTGGGCTCTTGGTCTCAATGACCTTAGGATTTTTGGTCTCATTGGATGTATAGGTTGTTTAGATGTCCTCGTTACGGCGAATAACAAAGGGAAAATCTGGTGAAGCTGTAATGAGGAGAGAGCAGAGTTTTTGTGCATCTATGCATCTACAACATTAAGGCACTAATTTGTCCGTTTTTGGTATTTTTTTGTAATGTTCATTTGTTTGTTTGTTATATCCAGGTCCAAGATCCTGTCCCGGCCAGGAAGTTGCCGCAGGACCATCTTTCTGACTATTGCCAACCTGGTCCAGAAATACACCGTCCGTTTCCGGAGGGGCCTGTCGTTGATGTGTCTAACGTGAAGGGTTCCTTCACCATGTACGCACCTAAGTTCGAAGTCCTTCTCGAGCCTCGTTCTAGACCGCCCCCACAAAGGAATTAAAACGAATAATCCTCTTAATTGAGGTCTTTGTTATTCTGGTAGTGTAAGGCCTAAATAATTTACAGAGAACTGTTTCTTCTTCATTAATACTTGGCGAATGTTTCTCACAGAAATTGAACATATTATCTAGCCTAGATAATTATGCAAAATTAGGTAAAAACTTGATGAGGAAATCGTATTTAAACAATAATATTAGTACCTATCGTAATGACATTTACAAATGTAGTTTTATCGTAATACGACAATAATAGAAGTACCATAATAATTGTATGTATATAATACTATGTCCATAATGTAACATTAACGCAGTAACATAATATGACGATAATTAAAGTATCAAAAGACAGTAGTATATGCAATAAAAGCAGTACCGTAATCATGGTACATGCGTATCAGGACAATTACCTCCCTGGACAATCACCCCCATGCAGGTAAATCATCCCGGAAATTCCCCCCCCCGGAAAATCACACGAAGGACAACCAAGGCTATAGGACAATTATTCCCCGGGAAAAATTACGTCCCAAGGACAATTACCCCCACCCCAATTCTGAAAATTCCCCCCTTGGACAATCACACCATTGGACAATAACCCCCGGAGGACAATTACCCCCCCCCCCCAACAGAAAATATCCCCTGTCAAAGGGTATCATTTTCAGGGAAGGGGGATTGTCCTCGGGAAAGGGTGTGATTGTCGAAGGGGCTGATTTTTCAAGGGGGGGGGGTAGTTTTCCGGGGGTTATTGTCATCGGTGATGGTTGTCCTTTGGGTTAATTTTGACTGGGGGTTATTGTCCTTAGGGGTAATATCCCGTTGGTAATTTACCATTGGGTGATTGTCCAAAGGGTAATTGTCATAGAACCTGCTACATGTAATATGCATTTTAATTTTGCAAGACAATAATTCACATTTGACACTCTTCACCCGGGTGTAAATCAATATCTGGCAATTACTTGGATATGATTATTCTAAGGCCGTCAGTTTTTACTTCACTAAATAAACAAACGAATCATTAAAACAAACACAAAATCGAAGAAAAATTACTAAAAATATGAGGGCAGCATTCATTATGATCACACGATGACGTAATTGTATGAATTATCATAGTTAGGTCCTCATTATTTCTTATAATTGTGAAACTAAATTAATGCTACAATTCGTAATATTTTCTTTTAATCTCCTGGCATAACGTTTCCAAATTAATGTAAGAAAATTATAAGCATTTTTATTTAAAAGTTACCATTTGTTTGGTTCCCGTGAAATTCGTTATACAAAATCATATATAGAAATAAAATATATAGTTAAATGCATTAATTTATTTTGTGCCGTTATTATCCTGTATTAAAGTTTATTATGTGTGGGCGTGTTTATTTCAGAGAGAGAGAGAAAGAGAGGGGGTGGGGAGAAGAAAAAAAAATCAAATAAAAAACAAAGAGAAGAGAAGGAAGGAGTGACTGGATGAATTCAACAAAAAGGTGCTTGTGTGGATAATATAATAACGTCTTACTTACTCCCAATCGCGGTTCATTTATTAACAGATTGCAATTTTATGAGGGGCATCATTGAACTCCGTGGGCCTCCGTGGCCTAATGGATAAGGCATCGGTTTCCTAAACCGGGGATTGTGGGTTCGAGTCCCACCGGAGGTGAACACATTTTTTTGGGGGGTGTATTAGTTAGTTATTATTTTTATCATAATTTCTTCGTGCTTTGTTTCGGCAAACGCTGTAGAAAACCTCATTTTTCAAACAAAGCATTTCAGTGATTGTGCATCCTTAAAATTCTGCCAGATGTTTGCATATATTTTAGTTATTGGAACTCAAGCTGTAATACCTCTTTGATGTAATATCTGAATGTCACATGACCATGAATCCAAGCTGAGATGACCAGCACTAGATGATTCATTTTTAACAGAATAAAATCTTAGGAGAAACACTTTCATCATCCGCCTCCGTGGCCTAATGGAAAAGGCATCGGTTTTCTAAATCGGGGATTGTGGGTTCGAGTCCCACCGGAGGTAAACAGATTTTTAGATTTTGTTTCCGTATCGGGACAATTACCCCCTTGGACAATTATCCCTATACAATTACCCCCCCCCCTTACCCTCCCACCATTGAAACGGAAATGAATTTTTAAAGAAGATGAAAGAATCGAAGTAGAAATGGGAGGGAAAGTCACAGGACACTTAACTTAACGATGGGACTCGAACCCACAATCCCCGGTTTAGGAAACCGATGCCTTATCCATTAGGCCACTGAGGCCTACGCAGTTCAAAGACGTCTCTCATAAAATTGTAATCTGTTAACAAAATAATGAATAACTTAAATGCTTTAATTTTGTATATCTAAGGTACCAAGCCGCCCCATATAAAGGGGCAATAGGGAGTAAGTTAGAATTTATTATATTATAAACACAAGCACCTTTTTGTCGAATTTTCCAGTCACTCATTTCTTCTCTTCCAATAACCCCCCCCCCCGAAAAAAAATCCTGCTGTTATTTTATACCAACATATTTCCTGGGTAGACTTTCCCTATAATGAACAGGGGGATAGTTTTCGAGGGGTAATTGTCCTCGGGTATTGTCGTCCTCGGTTGTACCTGGAGGGGGGAGGCTGCTTGGGGGTAATTTTCATAAGGTGGGGGTTGCTAGGGGGTAATTTTCAATGGTGTGTGTGGGGGGGGGGGAATTGTCCCGATACGGAAACAAAACCAAAAATCTGTTTACCTCCGGTGGGACTCGAACCCACAATCCCCGGTTTAGAAAACCGATGCCTTATCCATTAGGCCACGGAGGCGGATGATGAAAGTGTTTCTCCTAAGATTTGATTCTGTCAAAAATGAACCATCTAGCGCTGATCATATCAGCTTTGATTCATGGTCATGTGACATTCAGATATTACATCAAAGAGGTATTACAGCTGGAGTTCCAATAACTAAAATGTATTGCAGACATCTGGCGGAATTGCAAGGATGCACAATCACTGAAATGCTTTGTTGGAAAATTAAGGATTACCACAGCGTTTGCCGAAACAAAGCAAGAAGAAATTATGATAAAAATAATAACTAAACTAATTTACACAACAAAACATCTGTTCACCTCCGGTGGGACTCGAACCCACAATCCCCGGTTTAGGAAACCGATGCCTTATCCATTAGGCCACGGAGGCCCACGGAGTTCAAAGATGTCCCTCATAAAATTGTAATCTATCAATGAATGAATCGCTTAAAATAATACTTTAATATGTTATAAGGTTCCAAGCCGCCCATAGATAGGGGGATTTGGAGTAAGTTAGGAGTTATTATATTATATTATCCACACAAGCACCTTTTTTTCAAATTCTTCCAGTCACTCCTTTCTTCTATTCAAATTGTCCTAGGGGATAATTGTCCCGATACGGAAACAAAATCTAAAAATCTGTTTACCTCCGGTGGGACTCGAACCCACAATCCCCGGTTTTAGAAAACCGATGCCTTATCCATTAGGCCACGGAGGCGGATGATGAAAGTGTTTCTCCTCAGATTTTATTCTGTCAAAAATGAACCATCTAGCGCTGATCATATCAGCTTGGATTCATGGTCATGTGACATTCAGATATTACATCAAAGAGGTATTACAGCTGGAGTTCCAATAACTAAAATGTATGCAGACATCTGGGGGAATAGCAAGCATGCACAATCATGGCCCTGGGAAGCAGGGGCGGGCTGGGGGGGGGTGCTGCAGTACCCCCGGAATTTTTCCGGGGGGAGGGGGGGGGGGCACAGCCCCCTGCAATTTTTTTTCGTATGATATATTTAATGTATATCATTATATGCTTCGTTTACAAAATTGTCACACAGCCGTCAGCCACAAATGAAGATTAGAAAGAAAAAAAATTATAACGTTTCTTTCACAAAATCTATAAAATGTATCCCTCGAAGAGAATTTGTTTTGTTTAATAAAAAAAAAAAAATGTCCTAATTGGGGACCCCAAAATGACAGACCTCCCCCCCCCCAATACCGATGGACAAAATTTTCAAATTATTCGACACACACAAACAAAAATGCCCTCTTCCCCCCCCCTCCCCCTCTGCTTATTCAGTGGCTGGCTAAGTCGTTGCGAAATTTTTGGGACCAAAAAAAAAATATATGTCCTCTTACCCCCCCCCCCCCCCCCCCCCCCCCCGCGCTTATTCAGCGGCTGGATGAGTCGTTGCAAAAAATAATTTCGCAGTATATATCTCAGCGGCCCGGTGAAAAAATCGTTCCCAGGGCCCTGTGCACAATCACTGAAATGCTTTGTTGGAAAATTAAGGATTACCACAGCGTTTGCCGAAACAAAGCATAAAGAAATTATGATAAAAATAATAACTAACTAATTTACACAACAAAACATCTGTTCACCTCCGGTGGGACTCGAACCCACAATCCCCGGTTTAGGAAACCGATGCCTTATCCATTAGGCCACGGAGGCCCACGGAGTTCAAAGATGTCCCTCATAAAATTGTAATCTATCAATGAATGAATCGCTTAAAAATAATACTTTAATATGTTATAAGGTTCCAAGCCGCCCATAGATAGGGGGATTTGGAGTAAGTTAGGAGTTATTATATTATATTATCCACACAAGCACCTTTTTTCAAATTCTTCCAGTCACTCCTTTCTTCTATTCAAATTATCCCCCCCCCCCCGAAAAAAAATTCTGCTGTTATTTTTATACCAACATATTTTCCTGGGTAGACTTTTCCTATAATGAACAGGGGGTAATTTTCGAGGGGTAATTGTACTCGGGTATTGTCGTCATCGGTTGTACGTGTTGGGGGGGGGGGGGGGTTGCTAGGGGGTAATTTTCAATGGTGGGGGGATAATTGTCCTAGGGGATAATTGTCCCGATACGGAAACAAAATCTAAAAATCTGTTTACCTCCGGTGGGACTCGAACCCACAATCCCGGTTTAGAAAAACCGATGCCTTATCCATTAGGCCACGGAGGCCCACGGAGTTCAATAATGTCCCTCATAAAATTGTAATCTGTTATGAAAAGAATCGCTTAAATGCTTTAATTTTTTTTCTTCATATCTAAGGTTCCAAGCCGCCCATAGATAGCAGCGATTGGGAGTAAGTTAGAAGTTATTATATTATCCACACAAGCACCTTTTTGTCGAATTCTTCCAGTCACTCCTCTAAATGAACCAAGAGGGGGGGGGGGGGGGGATTGGAGAGAAGAGAGGAGTGACTGGAAGAATTCGACATAAAGGTGCCTGTGTGGATAATATAATAACTTCTAACTTACTCCCAATCGCTGCTATCTATGGGCGGCTTGGAACCTTAGATATGAAAAAAAAAATTAAAGCATTTAAGCGATTCTTTCATAACAGATTACAATTTTATGAGGGGACATTATTGAACTCCGTGGGCCTCCGTGGCCTAATGGATAAGGCATCGGTTTTCTAAACCGGGGATTGTGGGTTCGAGTCCCACGGAGGTAAACAGATTTTTAGATTTTGTTTCCGTATCGGGACAATTATCCCCTAGGACAATTATCCCCCACCATTGAAAATGACCCCTAGCAACCCCCCCCCCCCCCCCAGGTACAACCGAGGACGACAATACCCGAGGACAATTACCCCTCGAAAACTATCCCCCTGTTCATTATAGGGAAAGTCTACCCAGGAAATATGTTGGTATAAAAATAACAGCAGGATTTTTTTTCGGGGGGGGGGGGGGTTATTGGAAGAGAAGAAATGAGTGACTGGAAGAATTCGACAAAAAGGTGCTTGTGTTTAAATATAATAAATTCTAACTAACTCCCTATTGCCCCTTTATATGGACGGCTTGGTACCTTAGATATACAAAATTAAAGCATTTAAGTTATTCATTTGTTAACAGAGTACAATTTTATGAGGGACGTCTTTGAACTGCGTAGGCCTCCGTGGCCTAATGGATAAGGCATCAGTTTCCTAAACCGGGGATTGTGGGTTCGAGTCCCACCGAAGGTGAACAGATGTTTTGTTGTGTAAAATTAGTTAGTTATTATTTTCATCTTAAATTTCTTCGTGCTTTGTTTCGGCAAAACGCTGTGGAAATCCTCATTTTTCAAACAAAGCATTTCAGTAATTGTGCATCCTTGAAATTCTGCCAGATGTTTGCATAAATTTCATTTATTGCAAACTCAAGCTGTAATACCTCTTTGATGTAATATCTGAATGTCACATGACCATGAATCCAAGCTGAGATGACCAGCGCTAGATGATTCATTTTTAACAGAATAAAATCTTAGGAGAAACACTTTCAGCATCCGCCTCCGTGGCCTAATGGATAAGGCATTGGTTTTCTAAATCGGGGATTGTGGGTTCGAGTCCCACCGGAGGTAAACAGATTTTAGATTTTGTTTCCGTATCGGGACAATTACCCCCTTGGACAATTATCCCCTATACAATTACCCCCCCCCCCTTACCCTCCCACCATTGAAAATACCCCCTAGCACAATCCCCCTACGTACAACCAAGGACAACATTACCCTAGGACAATTCCCCCTCGAAAATTATCCCCCTGTTCATTTAAGGGAAAGTCAATACCCGGAAAATATGTTAGTATTAATAACAGTAGGATTTTTTTTCGGGGGGGGGGGGGATTGGAGAGAAGAGAGGAGTGACTGGAAGAATTCGACAAAAAGGTGTTGTGTGGATAATATAATAACTTCTAACTTACTCCCAATCGCTGCTATCTATGGGTGGCTTGGAACCTTAGATATGAAGAAAAAAAATTAAAGCATTTAAGCGATTCTTTTCATAACAGATTACAATTTATGAGGGACATTATTGAACTCCGTGGGCCTCCGTGGCCTAATGGATAAGGCATCGTTTTCTAAAACGGGGATTGTGGGTTCGAGTCCCACCGGAGGTAAACAGATTTTTAGATTTTGTTTCCGTATCGGGACAATTATCCCTAGGACAATTATCCCCCACCATTGAAAATGACCCCCTAGCAACCCCCCCCCCACCCCCCCCCCCAGGTACAACCGATGACGACAATACCCGAGGACATTTACCCCTCGAAAATTATCCCCCTGTTCATTATAGGGAAAGTCTACCCGGAAAATATGTTGGTATAAAATAACAGCAGGATTTTTTTTTCGGGGGGGGGGGGGGGTTATTGGAAGAGAAGAAATGAGTGACTGGAAGAATTCGACAAAAAGGTGCTTGTGTTTATAAAAAAATAACTTCTAACTTATTCCCAATCGCCCCTATATATGGGCGGCTTGGTACCTTAGATATACAAAATTAAAGCATTTAAGTTATTCATTTGTTAACAGATTACAATTTTATGAGAGACGTCTTTGAACTGCGTAGGCCTCAGTGGCCTAATGGATAAGGCATCGGTTGCCTAAACGGGGATTGTGGGTTCGAGTCCCACCGGAGGTGAACAGATGTTTTGTTGTGTAAATTAGTTAGTTATTATTTTTATCTTAAATTTCTTCGTGCTTTGTTTCGGCAAACGCTGTGGAAATCCTCATTTTTCAAACAAAGCATTTCAGTAATTGTGCATCCTTGAAATTCTGCCAGATGTTTGCATACATTTTAGTTATTGGAACTCCAGCTGTAATACCTCTTTGATGTAATATCTGAATGTCACATGACCATGAATCAAAGCTGATATGATCAGCGCTAGATGGTTCATTTTTGACAGAATAAAATCTGAGGAGAAACACTTTCATCATCCGCCTCCGTGGCCTAATGGATAAGGCATCGGTTTTCTAAACCGGGGATTGTGGGTTCGAGTCCCACCGGAGGTAAACAGATTTTTAGATTTTGTTTCCGTATCGGGAAAATTATCCCCTAGGACAATTATCCCCCCACCATTGAAAATTACCCCCTAGCACCCCCCCCCCCCCCAACACGTACAACCGATGACGACAATACCCGAGTACAATTACCCCTCGAAAATTACCCCCTGTTCATTATAGGGAAAGTCTACCCAGGAAAATATGTTGGTATAAAATAACAGCAGAATTTTTTTCGGGGGGGGGGATAATTTGAATAGAAGAAAGGAGTGACTGGAAGAATTCGAAAAAAAGGTGCTTGTGTGGATAATATAATAACTCCTAACTTACTCCAAATCCCCCTATCTATGGGCGGCTTGGAACCTTATAACATATTAAAGTATTATTTTAAGCGATTCATTCATTGATAGATTACAATTTTATGAGGGACATCTTTGAACTCCGTGGGCCTCCGTGGCCTAATGGATAAGGCATCGGTTTCCTAAACCGGGGATTGTGGGTTCGAGTCCCACCGGAGGTGAACAGATGTTTTGTTGTGTAAATTAGTTAGTTATTATTTTTATCATAATTTCTTCTTGCTTTGTTTCGGCAAACGCTGTGGTAATCCTTAATTTTCCAACAAAGCATTTCAGTGATTGTGCACAGGGCCCTGGGAACGATTTTTTCACCGGGGCCGCTGAGATATATACTGCGAAATTATTTTTTGCAACGACTCATCCAGCCGCTGAATAAGCG